ACTGGGAGGAAAAGCAGTTTATCTCAAATCGCTGCTTTGCCTAAAGTAGTCCTTCAACCAGGTATTGTGTAGGATTTTTTTTTTTTTAATTCAGCACACTCAGCTATTTTAGCTCTTTGGTGGATTAAGTTCAACTGTACAATGGTATGTTGTTTTTCATTTGTGTTGCAATAGTGTTTGCAGGCTCAAGTAAGATAGAGGCCTTTTCTACAAGAGATGCTGTACAAATGCATTGTAAAAGACAATTCGAGCCCTTAAGAGTTCATAGCCCTAACAGACAGCAAATGAAAGCTAGCAAGGGAAACAATGGTGAGGAGGTTTGAAGCAGCTTTCCAGGGTCACAGAACAGAGGATCAGTGGGTGTAGGCATGGGAATAAGACAAGTGCCCTGTCCATGAAACTGTAATGACTTCTTTACTAAACAGATTAGATCTAAAGTATGTTCACAATTCTATAATGTAGATGGTGTCTGTTCTTACAGTCTTAAACTGAGGTTATTAAAGACTATTTTGCAGGCAGCAATGGAACTGCTCTGACAATCTTGTTGAAACAAGCAGGATAGTATGAAGCATAGCATGGGATCATTAGCTTCTTTTGCTTTCCTGAGTGTGAGGAAACTCATACACTGATATTCATGTTGGGGTCACTGTTCAGCAGGCATAAACCAGCATAGTACTATTAATTATTATCTTTTTCTGAAAAGTGTTCTCATATATTAGTTGTGAATCCTGCTGTTTGTACTGATTTCAGTATTATGATTTTTAGCATTTATAATATATTTTAGTATGCATCTTTATATATGCTAGATGCTTATCAGTATCTTTGATTTGTTAATGATATTTTATCTTATTAGGACTTAAACATCAGCTATTAGATGAGCTTCAAACTTTCTTTCAGCACCTCCATCCTCTTCCATATTTTCAACATCATTTAACAAAAGCTTTGTGTATGTTTATACCTGACCTGCTGGGATCTGGAAGTCCATTCCATCCCCAATTTTTTCCATAGCCCAACATCAACATATGTTCCACAGTTTCAGACACAGATGGAAAATTTGCAGTAAATGAAGAACTGAAATGTAGCCCCACTCTCTTTCACAGTCAGTTAGAGCAGCCCCTGCAGAAGACCCCAGGGAGTTTGAAAATCACGATTTCAGAATTTCTAGAAATTCAGTTTTCTGTTAATCTAGTACCTTTTAAATGGGCAGTCTGAGTGTTGATTTAATTGATAAATTATGACAAGGTGGTTAATGTAAACAATATGAAGGTTTAGAATAAATGAGGGGTCAATAACTTTCCTTTTGATATCACCGTAAGTAGATTTCACCAGAGATCTAACAGATTCCATGCTTTTTCCCAGCTAATATAGCAGTTTCATGTGTTTTTCCCCTCTGGAATATTATTCAACCTGGACTATAATAGTCAGTAGCCAGTAACTCCACTTTTTAGATCAGCTGCTTTTTATTTTTAAAGCAGAAAGATTTTATCAAAAAGAATGTCAAAAGCAGTTTTATGTAAATGACAGATCTGTAATTAATTGCAGCATTTGCAAGCAATGTTTTGTACAAGGAATACTGAATATTCAATACTATTTAATTGTTTATTTAAAATAGTTTAATGAGCTTTGCAAAGGCAGGAAAACACTGAAAAATGCAAACTAGAATGATAAAAATCCTTTGGTTATATTTTCTTAGTGGCTGTCAAGGGTCTGTGAATAATATGCTGCATGAGGTTGTCTTTTTCAATATTAGTGGTGACACAGCTTTTCTGAAAACTGCCTTCCTGCTAGTAGTAAGGGCCAAATGCCTCTCTAAAACAGCAGTGGTGCTGGAAGAGGCAGACACGTTTATCATGATGGCTGATTATACAGCGTAGAATACATCTATTTAAATGAGAGAGGCCACCTACTGGGGGAGAGAAAAAACATCCTTAGACTTTTTGAGCCTCCTAATCAAGACGATGACTACATAATGCTGAGCAGCAACTTAAGAGAGCTATGTTCTCCAGTTTTTGTGGGTAGACTATTTTAGCAAGATGGTAGCAACTATATCTTTTTGGTTCTGTCCCCTGATTAATCCTGCTATTGTTACCCAGAGTAAGAAATTTCTTGCCAAACATGCTTTCTTGAGTATTCATGTGCACAGATTGTAAAGAGAGAAAAAGAAAGCAAAAATAATAATAGTTCTGGGAGTAGAATTTTAAACCTCACTTAAAGCAAGAATTAGCATCGTCTACTGCATAGTAGAAAAGAATTTTTCAAGCTGATAAAGAGTAAGAACTTAGAACAACAAAAAAGATAAACCCACAGCAGAGAAACGTTTAACTCCTATCACCCCACTTGTAAAAGATATTTCCTCATTTGCTTTGCAATTCTGTGTATGCTGTGTTTTTTTGATTCAATATGCAAACTGGGATGGACCCACGTTACTTGTGACCTCAAATTGGTATTTTCCCCTTTTTCTGCACTAGTTCCCTTTCTAAAAGGGAGCCATAATGTGCACTTGTCTTTAACTAAAAGGTATCTAATTAAATACAACATAATCTGTGAAGCTAATAAAGATCCTGCCGAGGTGGGGGGGGGGGGGGGGAATAAAAGGAATAGCAGTTGAATAAATCCCATGGTTAGCAACTGCAAGCACTTTAAAGGCAGCTGGAAGGAAGCTGGGCATTATTTTTGAAATAGAATGGTTTGTGGTGGGTTTTTTTGTTTTCATGGTTGTGTTTTGTCTTTTTTTTTGTTGTTTTTGTTGTTTTGTTTTTATTTTTTGTTTTTTTTTACCTCAAAGGAGTGTTCTCCCGCCTCCCATTGATTCCTTGTATCCAAGGGCTATTTGAAGTAAATAGTGATGGAATATTCCAGATCAAACATCTTGCTAAATAGCTCTCTTTCTCAAGAGGTCTTTCATGAAACGTTATGAAAGTGGAATTGCACAGCACTTGTTAATCAGGGTAGCTGATAAACAAATATTCAGCTAAGGGGAGGACTCTTTCAGTGAAATAGACAGCAGGTGACTGATTCTTCGAGAGAGCAAGGAGTGAAGTTATACTGGTGATATGGAACAAAGCAAATCCTCTGTAACAAGCCCTAATTAATTCTTTTTGTACATATTAGCATGGCAGGCTGGGGAAAAAAAATAAAAAAAAAAAAGGGAAAGTGAAGTGAAAAGCAAAAGAGGAATTTGCTCAGCCAAGGCACCTATTTCTTCTAAAGAGATCATGTCAAAGCCAATTTAGATCTCATGGTTTTGATTTGTTAAGAGGAAAGTTTTACAGGTCCAGGCTGCTGGTTTTTACTTGTTTTTATCTTCCAATATAAAGCACATTAATGCTAAGATTAAAATCAAAGCAAAATAGAAAATTATTTTTCTTCATGTAATAAAACCATTTAATTACAAATTCATTTAAATCTGAGCCTAAATGTAAACTTTTTCCTACTGAGGATAGGAAAAAGCTGTTTAATTTTACTCCTTCCTACTATCCACTACAGTCTTGTTCTAGGAAGCCATTTTCCATCTCTTTGTATCGCACGGTGTTACTGATCCTTATTCCGAAAACATTTGTGAACAGACACTTGGACTACAGTTCTGTGAAGTGAAAGTTGCAGGCAGATGCACGCTGGCAACCCCTTCTTTGTTATTTTGTAATGGCTTTTGGATCAAAGAAAGAACAGGAGTAAGTTGGGACATATAGCTGAAGAGTAAGAAGTGGGATCTGGGACAGGAGTGCAAGATACAGTGCAGTATGGGAGCTTATGGTCTGTACCTAGACTGCCCTGTGCCATTTGAATGATGCACAAGAGCATCCTGAACAATCAGGTGTGGGATTCATTTTAGATATTTTGAACAGCAAAAGTATCTTCTGTAAATGGTGCACTCTTATACGTATCTTAAGAAAAGAGTTTTGCAGTCTTCATTTTTTTTTTTTGAGGATTTGTGCAAGGTTTCTTTAAGAACTCAGATTTCCAACTGCTGATCAGCTGCAAGCCTTCATAACTTCTTTTACTACGTTATTCACAAACTTCTTCTGCAGCATTTGTTCTTTCTCAAAGCGTTATATTCTACAATAGGAAACCAAAAACCCCGTCTCTCTTCTCCACCACTGTGTGATCTGTTCCCTGCATTTAATTTCTAAAAATGGCTGCTACTATATATATATACATATATATATATATTTTTTTTTTTTCTGAGAGGGACGCTGACGTATTTATAGTTCAAACTAAGATTGTACTGACAATCTCCAGGTAGTTTTGAGTGCGACATTGAATAAACCAACTTATAGATCGTAGAATCAGAATAGTTAGGGTGTGCAAGGACCTTAAGGTCATTTAGTTCTAACCCCCCTGCTATGGGCAGGGATGCCTTGCACTAGACCATGTTGCCCAAGGCTCTTCCAACCTGCCCTGTGAGCATTTACCACTTCTGTGGGCAACCTGTTCCAGTACTGAAGAATCATGATAGCTGAATGAGGAAAATGAGTTGCATTGCTCGTACATCTGAAAAATGAGGAAAAAGAGTTTGTTCCCTGAATTACTAAATAGGAACATAGCTGCAAGTTCTAAAAGGGTAAGGTGGTTTCCAGTGTTGTCACAGACTCCTATTTGGTTGTGTCTGGAAATGATGTCATGTACTGACCTGCTAGATTGCGTATGCTTGTACACAATTCTAAACATTATGGTATTATTTCACAGTGGTTTATTAGATTTGCACATTATATGGAGAGTTTATCTCAGAAAAGATTTCAAAGCTTGGCTTTGTTATAGATCAGAATCTCTTCCCACCTTTAACTCTAAAATACAATTTGTATGATACTTGAAAAATTTCAAGTGGTTACAAAATTGTTGATTTTTATTTATTTATTTATTTTTCAAATATGAACTGCCCTAGTGTAAAGCAGTCATTCTTGAATTAGCATACAAAGTAACCTTTCTAAGCAGGAGTATACTGAATAGTTTAAGCTTTTATTAACCTTTAACTTTTTTCTACACCTCTCCCCCCACCCCAGGATGCCTTTGAGATAATGGCTGAAAATTATGAGTTCAAAGAAAATGAAATATTCTGCCTGGAATTTCTGAGGGCAGCTTCTGTGCTGAAATGTCTTCCATTTCCAGTAATCAGAATGAAAGATATACAAGGGTTGCCCTGCATGGGAGACAGAGTCAGAGATGTCATTGAGGTAAAGTACCTCTGAATTATCTGTGAATTGATTCTTTTACAGATCTAGTTTTAGAGGTCACAGAGTGCAGCACTGATATCTGAGTGTATTTACGCAACCTTCTGTGTTTCCTGTAATAACATTATAGTATCTGTGTAACTGAGAACTCAGTGATTTCTGGAAACCTTTTGTAGTAACATAAGGTTCTGTCATGGAACTCCTGCCCTTAGGAATAAAGATAACTAATGAACAAATTAATAAATAATGCAGTACCATCTTGGTATGTAATTTGTAAAGGCTTGCACTGATTTGGTTGCATCAGGTTAACTGTTAATAGTTTTGTTCTTATGACTTCTCCCACTGGCAACATCATTTTGCTCACCTGAATGCTCTATTAGAAATACTATTTTTGCAAAGCTGGTAAATATTTTAGTACTTTAATGTTAAATCCTACATTGCTATGAGTTATAAGCAGAGCCTTTATCTAGGTGATGGATGAACTTCTACATTCTTACTGGAGCTTTAAGTTTTCCCTGTATTTTTCTTTAGCCTTTTCAGATACCACACTGCACTTCTGTTATTCCAGCAGGCAGCTGATCAGGGGATCTTAGCTGTCTGGAGAGGTCATTGCAGAGTGTTATGATTCACTCTGGCTCCTTTTTTGCCTCACGCCACCAGAGCTTCTGAAGTGCTTTTTGTACCTACCACCTGGGGACTGGGAAATCAATTATGATGCCACAGAAAATGTTATGATTTTTTGGGAGGGGGGTGCTATTGGGATTTTTTTGTTTGTTTGGTTGGTATTTTTAGGTTTTATCAGAAAGGCTGAAACAACGGTACACTCAAGAAAGAAGAGATCTGTTCTTACAATGATTTTTTTAAGAGAACTTAATTCAACAAAATAATGAAATCTAATTTTCAGGACAATTCATTGATAGCTTATGATAAATAACTGCTTTCTAGCTGTGAATTTATGAGTAAATAAGTACTGTGAAATATATTCCATGGTCCCAGTTTCCACTTCATCCTTGAGTAAATTTATGAGTAAATAAGTACTGTGAAATTTATTCTTTGCTTCCAATTTCTCCTTCATACTTCAGTAATTGCATTAGGATTTGATCCTAATGGAATAAACCAGTATGTTCATTAAGCGTGCTCTTTATGTTTGTACAGGTTGATATGCCTTTCTTTTAGATTATTTTACTAAGTCTTATTGTAATTTTGATTTTATTTTTTTTTAATAATGTGTTTAGGAAATTATTGAAGAAGGAGAGAGTTCTAGAGCTAAAGAAGTGTTAAATGATGAACGATACAAGTCATTTAAGGTAAATCTTTTAAAATTTATTGCTGTTGCTTAAAATTTCCCTCCCATTAGTAGAGCTTAGATACAACCATCAGTTTTATTACAAAGGAACATATAATATCAAGTATAAAGAAAGATGTTGAATAAAGAGAAAGGGAAAGAGAGAAACTGAGAGAGTAAGGAATAATGGTGAAATCAGTTACCTTTCTAATTAATGTGATGCATACACCGTTGCTCTTAAGCTTGAACTAAACAATCTCTTTGCTTGGAAACTAACATAATACATACACTTTGCTGTAATGTTTGGTTTATTTCCTCAATTTATTAACATTATAACACTGCACCATCTCATTTGGGCATTAAGAAAATACTAAGTGAAGAAAATGACTCAGATCTATTTTAATTCCCTTTTTTGTGAGGCAAGATGAAGAGGACTGGAGATATTTCTCTGTTTAGGCAGATTGTAGGTTCAGAGTCATGATCATATCTCATACTTACATGTAATTTAAACCAAATAAATACTGCAGTTCCCATTTCTTATATGGTCAGTGAATTCTTCTCTGGAAAAATATATAATGGATTTTTTTTTTCCCCAATTTGATCTGCAGTCTTGATCTCTAAGAAGTATCTTGTTTGTGTCTTCAGAAAAAATTGAAACAAAGAGTAAACCGAATAGAACTGATTAATTCTCTCCTTCATTACTCACTTTCACTCCAGCTATTGAAAGGCTCTTCCGTACACTCTGACCTGTAATACAGGCATGAGAGGATGTACAGTGACAGTTGTTGGTGCCAGCTGTAGTGACAGTCAGAAAAGAGGTACAGATTCATATGTATAGCAGGATTCAGGAACCAAACTTGCTTATTAATAGTAATATGTATTTAGGATCTGCCATTAAATCTTGCGTTTCAGGATTTAAGAACATTTCTTGGAGATTAGAATAAAAATCTATCAGGGGAAATATTATCTCAAATGTGCTTTATGCTTTGTTTAACATTTCAAATTCCAACAAACTTTTGTGGTTCTCACGTTAGCTCAGCACAGTCTCAACATTTTGGCTAAACTGGCTGTAGCCAGTTTTTCCAAACAATTTTCATGTGTTTCTAAGAAAGCCAAGAAGAATCCCATAATATTAGTGAATTCCTGAATTTTACTGTTTAGCATGATTCTAGTAACTGCTGCAAATTACTCATAATGACTTAAAAGATCACCACTGGTCCCAGTTCTCAAATGAGTGAAATAGATTGCACAGTAGGGTATGACATGATCAGCTTTGCCTCCTTACAGAAGTGGGAGCTGTAGAGAATGGGTTTATATTATTTAATTTCACCAGCTGAAAAAGAGCAATATTTGTATACACAGTTGAAGAAATGGGCTGCCTGCTACTAGCACTGCACTCTGGGCAGTGTCTCTAAATTAACATCGATAAATATACTGAATAATGATGGATTTTCAAATGGAAAGAAAAAAAATATGGGCTTTTTTTTTGACGCACACACAAACATTTGGACAGTGGCATAAAATCCATTATCTTTAATTCTGTATCCCAATATTAATTACATCTCTTGGAATCATTCTAAACCCAGTAATAGACCCATTTGAAAATCTCTTAGCACTAGCAAAAGCATTAAAAGATAACTATCTAAGTATTTTAAAAAAACCACATTCTTTCATAAACACTCATGTTTCAGACAAAGAATAGGTAATTTCATCCATTATATAGGAAATGTGGGATAATTGCTGTTTAATATTACCATTTTTCTCTTTCCTTTCGCTTAATTATTTCTAAGGAATTAATCTCTTTAGAAAAACACAAAATAAAGCTAGCATGGCTGGAATCCAGAGACTGCAGATTCAATGGAAAACAGCAGTTATTTATGTCTTACACAGCTACTCATTGAATTCTACAAAAGTACAAAGACACTATTGACAGCTTTAGTATTGACAAACTGAATGTAAGGAGTGTTCTTTTGGGCAAGCATTAGAGTTTTCCCTCTTGCTTTCATATCACTGTTCATCTGAGATATCGATCCCCTGCATAATGCTTACAACTGTGACATTTTTGCTTTATGTCCTTTCTTAGTGAATAAGTTAGTGTACAAAATTACTTTAGAATAAATGGAATATAACCATACTAAAACTTTAGAAACTTGTACTAAAACTTTAGAAACTTGTACATTTGGGCTTTTTTTTTTTATTTTTATTTTTTTTTCCTAGTGACCAAAATAGTGAAATCTGTACTCCAAATAAGACATACAGGAATTTAGCTTGGTTCACATGAGGACTTCAGAATCGTAAGACTATATGCATAGTAAGCAAGCAAACAGAAGTCACAATTTCTGCTTGAAATTGAATTCTATGTTGAAAACAAGTATTGAGTGTGACCTCCAAGCATGTATTTTATAGAATGCAATATAAAAATAGATTAGTTGTCTTTACGTACTTACCGTCTGTTCCCATGCACCGTTGAGAGCCTTTGCACAGTGCAGAATTTCAAGAGCCACAGGATTCCCACTGACCTCATCTCTTGGTAGTGCAGCAACACCAACATCACGTGTACAACTACAGAGCTGGTAGAGTGTATAAGACAAAATTAGGAAGATAGTCTTGAGATATCACTTATTCTATAAAGTCTGTGTAAGGGAATCTACCTACTTAACATTAGTTTTTGTATTTTTATTAAGAAATGCATTAAAAAATAAGACTACTATCCTTACCTTAAACCTTAGTTGAAAGTGCATATTTAGATAAATCACACAAATATTCTGGAGCCACTACTGTGCTATTGTTTAAATTTCTCTTTAATGTGAACTGCCCATGCATAAAACCAATCTGTTCAACATAATTTTTTAAAGAAGGGAAGCTGAATCTGTATGTTTGTGTTACACTATTATCTTCAGTGTAGGACAAACTCTGCCCAGAATTTTCCCTGTGAAACCTTGCTGCTACCTACTTATTGTTAATTCACTGCTCCTTCAGAAAACAGCACTGAAATGTGTGTTCTTCTACTGGCCTTTAGAAGTTTACTTCAGTCTTTGGAGTAGGAGTGAAGACATCTGAGAAATGGTACAGAATGGGGTTACGAACTCTGGAAGAGGTAAAAGCTGACAAGACCCTGAAGCTGTCAAAAATGCAGAAAGCAGGTAAAGTGAAAGTTTCATAAAAACTTCTAAGAATTTCATAGCAGATCAGAGGAGGCAGCAAAGTTCACCCATTTTCTTGCTGCGGTGTCTTGAGAATAGTAAATCGTTAGGTTTAAATAATACTTGGATTAACAGAGCTCCTAATTAAAAATGGTGTCATTCAAAATATATGATTTTCTTTTTAATTGCTTGCGCAGATATCCAATGAGATCTGCTATTATACACAAAATTTTTAAAGGGTCATTATTGCACAAGTCATGAAGAATTTACATTGGGAAACCAGAACTACTTTTCAGTGGAGACCTGTCTCCTCTGAGGCAGTGATAAACCAAGTTTTGTAATAAAGAACTTGTAAAATTACTTCCATAATCCTAGCACATCTTAGCTTTAAACTGTTAAGCAAGATCAAATGAATAATATTCCTTCCCGATAGATTTATTTTTTTTTTTGTGTGCTGTTTCCCTAAATAAAGGAATTCATTTAAACAAAGAAATCAGTTACATTAAGGAAAGGAGACTATATAAAATTATGTTGAAATCATGTGGGTTTTTTTGGTAATAAACCTGTATGTTTTACATCACCTCAGAATCCCTTGAATCAGCTTGCCTCCTGTGTCCTTTTGGATTTTATATACAATACCCAAATGTGAAACAAGCTGCAGGACTTTTGGCACTTTTGATACAAGCTCTGTGAGCAGACATAAAGATAGCTGGAGTATTTCACATACCTCTGATCCTTATTATTTTGAGAAGACCCACCTTTTAAGGCAGTGCATCAAAAATGCCATTGATGGGAGCTGATAGGGAAGGCAGAGTAATTTATAAATATTCAGGTTGTCAGCAAGTGGAGCAATTATCTTGATTGCTATGTTATAAATTGTTACTGCTGTCACAATTTTAAACAAATTATAATGTCCTAAAAATTATATAGAAAGACAAAGATGAGGGAAGGAAGAAGCTGTCTCTTACCTGTGACCCCCCACATCCAAGGCAGAAGGCTGACTCCAGGAATGGTGGAAGAAAGGAAGACACTTCTAAAAAGGCTGGATCATAATATATTTCTTCTGCAACATGCCCTGAAACAAACGTATAGTTTCAGGTTCCAAAACTGAAACTGAAACCTATAGGTTCAGGTTCAAGATTGAGCATTTCTTAGTTCTTGCATAGGTAGGGTTCCTTCACCCATGGTACAAGTTGTGTGGTTCAAATTCTTGGTAAAAGTTGGCTATTTCACACAAGGCTTACCTAATACTATATTGATGTTGATAATTCCACAGAGTGATTGTACCTCTTTTGTTTTGATTTCCAGGGTTTCTCTACTATGAGGACCTTGTTAGCTGTGTATCTAAGGCAGAAGCAGATGCAGTAAGCTTGATTGTCAGGAACACTGTGTGTACGTTTCTACCAGATGCTTTAGTCACTATAACTGGTGGTTTCAGGAGGTGAGTGAAAGCAAGTAAGGACATTTGGCTGTTTTATTCAGGTACACAGAAAATAATGTTTCTGGCTTGGAAAAATCAAAGAAGCTTAGTGGGAAAGGATAAAGAGTTTGTTTTCAATGGCTGTTTTTTGTGTTTTGTTTTTGTTTGTTTGGGGTTTTTTATTGTTTGTTTGTTGGTTGTTGCTGTGATTGTCTTTTTGTTTTGGTTTTTTTTTTTCCCCCAAGGCAGGAGAGCGATCCTATGACATTCCCAGGTTCCTGTGTTTTATTACTATAGAGGGTTAGTTTGTCAGAACAAAATCTGTCTAAAAATAACTTGGTGGGAAAATGATGTTTAGATCACGTATTTTACTTGAACATTTTTTTCCCTTTTAGTGTATCTGAATTCCCAAGGCTGAAAATATTGTCAGGCCATGCTTGAAAAAAAGATACAATAGCTTTAAGGCTATTTTTTTTTTTTCTTTAAGAAAACTTGGTCACATGAGAGTGAAATGTGCAGAGTTTGTAGTGTTAGAAATATACTTTGCAGTAAACACTGACTAAACTGAATAAAAAGTGCTGACTAAATTGAACATGCGCTAATCTTTGTGTAGATCAGGTGATCTCAGAATTTCTTTCCTCGGTGATTTTTGTTCCTAAAACCCAATCTGAAACTGTAGCTCACAGTTTCAATTAACAAATTATTATTTGTTTCTTTCATCATTATGTAAATATTTTAATAAAAGAAGTAGGCAAATTTTATGAATCAAACAGCTTGACTTCATTCTCTCATACTTGTACACTACTAACATAAGAGAAAAAATAACTCATGATTGCTCTGAATTATATATTCATTCCCTAGGACCCAGATTTGTCTTGTTTTGTTATTTGTTTCATAACTCAGAAAAAATAAGCAGTTGATTGTGTTCCTCCTGATTTGACTGGAGATTTGAAAGTCATGAGACTCATAAACCTTACTTACTATGCAGGACAACTGGATGAATTACAAGGAAGGAATTTGCGATCTACAATCATGGAGATTCAATAGGGTAGAGATGAACTATAGGAAAGTTACATTCTTTTCTCTAAACTTATCAAACACACATGTGGCTGGATATATTTAATGAGTTACTAGACCTTTTCCATTAGATTCCTGGAATTTAATGAAATCAGATATTTTGGTGTTTCTTTTAATCAAAATTAGGAAGCATAATATAAAATCCAATTAAATAATAGCTATTTTTGAAGCCGTAGCAAACTTGTTCATGGACTTTGTTTTTATTAAGCTTTCACCTTTAGTCTTCTGTATTGCTTCTTGTACTTGTCTTAATGCTAGTGGGAGACTACTGTTTGTGTATTTCTAATTCAGAATAGTGGAAGATTCAAGGGTAAGAAAAAAAAGGCCATAAACAGAAAGTGAAAATCAAATTAGTACTTTGCATTTATGTGGTTGAATAAAAATACCAGACCTACAATTTGTTAGAGTAAGGAATGAAAATTAGGAAAGCTGATGAAATTTGATTGAGGACATACCAATCAACGGGATGTACTGTTGTATGAAATTTGTATTGAGGACATACCTTTTCCTCTGACCAGTTACATACAGTTTATTTCCTCTTTTGCTCTAACATTCTGTAGTTTCAGCTTAGGCCCCAAATTCTTTCTTTTATCACTTGTCAAGGGTCATATTATTGAAGCAGATTTCAACGTCTGCTACTTCCTTGAGGCCTTTTCTTTTTGAGTCTTTCATCTTTCTGCTTGTTTTCACAAAACAGTAACTCATAAAACATCTTTAATCAAAAGTCCTTTTCTTCTGGTTTTGGTTGGAAGTTTCAGTAACATTACATTTGGTCGAAAGCAAGTTTCAATTCAGCTCTCTGAATCAATTAAGGAATATAAAGACTTAAAAGTAATTGAAATAAAGTGTTGTGATGACAACCCTCCAGTATCTCCTTAATTTGAAATCTTCCAGGATCAGAAATTAATAAATTAATGGAATCTGGATGAGTTTATTCTTTGTTACACCCCTACAGAAACACTTAGCTTTCTGCTCATAATACTCCTTGACTTTTAGTTGGTATAGTTCGATATGTGAGGCTGGGAGAATCATTGTATTTTTCAGAAATATTTTTCTGACACTGATCTGGGTCATTTTGAAGCAGAATTACAACACTGAAATGTATGGAAATACAGAAATAAAACAACTGTATTTATGAAATAAATCATACCCATATGCTGTGGAATGCATTTTGTTGGTCTATCCAGTGAGGCCTATCAGCTCAACTGTATGGAAGGAATTATTGAGGATACTGATAATGCAATATAAAGTATATCATGCACAATGTTATCAGACTGAATTTGCCATGCAGTCTGTTTGAATCAGGAATTGGCATGGCATTATTTTTCAATGCTTAGCCTCTCTTATTTTGAATTGCTGAGATTTTAGACTGCTTTCTTCTTAAAGTTAGTGAGACAAATTCTGAGGTTCAGAGTAACAACTCGTATTGCAAGTTACAAAAGCCGCTGAGGGTGAAGTTTCCCTTCCAATGCTGAGATACTGAGGCCCTGGAATGAGGAGAAAACCCCTTTTATTTTAGCATGTGACATCCCTGATTAGTACTGTATCTGCCCCAACTATATCCAAGGCAGGAGTGTAGTTTAGGCTAATGTGTGTTATCACTTTTAAAGAGAGTTAAACTGAGGACCTGATAATTTCTTTTTCTTTTTTTTTTATTTATTTATTTTTTATGATTATTATAAATGTAATTTCATTCTATGAAGAGAATTGTTTTTCAATAGTGATAGTATTATCTCATGTTGCATATATTACTGCATTTTACAGAAAATTTGATGCCTATTAGCAATGTGTTAGTGCTACTATTAATAATATTAGCATTTCTACAGGATTGTTATAATGACAAATAGAAAACATCATGCTAGGTTTCACGGCAGGGAGTTTTCTCCCTTTTTCCTGTAGCTTCATGTTAGGACGTGGCTTCACAGTGACTTCAAGAAAAGGTTGTCGTGGGCTGAATGACTATCACAACATCCTGCAAGAGTCTGTGTTTTTCCTAATTTGATTTAGCTGCTGACATTTGGTTTTGCACAAGGGTTGATCTAGGGTGAGAGCTTCTTGAGAGCATTGTATATTAGACAGATGAAGCATTATATAGTAGATGTACTTTATGGCTTCAATCTCTTTACTGGTTATTCATATCCCAACACATATATCCACAAAACACCATTGACTGAAGGACCTGGAATAAGAATTAAATACAATAATAAGAATAAATCATCATGTTAACTTCATTTCCAGTATGGCTTTCTGTCAGCCTTTCTGTATGCTTTGTCCATATGATTCACAAACGATTTACAAATTAGGTTTCAGTTTTCTTGTGTTCTGTGTAGCACACCCAAATAGTTGTGGTTAGGTCTGCAACAGCAGGATTGTATTGCAATGATATGAGCGCAGTTACTATATCATTTATAGGCACTTATTTTTTGGAAGTTACCTAGGCATCCTATTGGTATTACGATTTCAATTCCGACTTACACTTTTGTTAGCTTCTCTCGTCTTTGCCTTAAGATAGAATGAAATAGACGAAGGAGACACTTTGTTTTAGATAAGTTTTCATACTGGAGTTCTTAAGAAGATGTCCAAGTGTCTTGGGTGATGTATCAAGCAGAATAACTAGTACCTATCCTGTTCTTCGTAAAAGGCTAAATCCTTTATCCTGCATCACTCTTCAGGGAAGTTTTGCCTCAGACTCTCTTATTATTGAATTCAGTTCTGTCATGAGCCTAATTGTAGATCACTGTCTTCTTGCTTGAATTTTATCTTATCTTTTGGAAATTGGGATTTGAGGCTCTGTAACATTCAAAGATAAGGATTGCTATTATAAAAGCAATGAAGAGAGCAAAGGACAGTGTTGGTGTTCTTGTCAGGCAGCACTGTCATGCTTTTTGTGTATTACAGTGTGTAAGTTTTCCCTATGTGCAGTGGCATTTCCTAGAAGGCAAAGGAATGCATAAAGGAGTGACATGGGACAAGACCCTCGTCTTTCCTGTTTTATCAAGAAAATTGTTTAAATATACCTTCTTTCAATTTCAGAGATAAAGTAAAATGAAATAGCTCAGAACAAGAAACGCTTCCAGAGATTATTTTACAGACTCAGGCTCATGCACCGATGAATAATTAATGCTATTCTGGCACCTTCGTTTCAAAAATGAGACTTCTATAAGGTATCTGGTACCTTATTAATTGTACCTTATTCTATAAGGTACAATTAATATGTGTTGACACATACTCATAAACGAGAGAATGTGAGATTGAATATATGAAAAATATTGATCTTCCCAAGCATTTGGTATATACTCAAGACTTTGTGGTTTATTTAACAAGCTAGTCATGTGCCTTTGACTATATTTCTTGATAAATCCTGATGAAAAGCTCAATTTGGCCTTTTCATATTGGATGCTTCTAATAAGAGTATTTTTAAGCAGGATGTAGAGGTTCTACAATGAGGCTAGCACACGTGATGTGACACCAAATCTTTGTTAGGTTCTGAGACATAAATGTATTTGAAGTCCTATTCCCCACATTGTTTTTCCACTCAGATCTAGGATTAAAATTGTGCTAGTCTTGAAACTAGTATCAATTATTTATCAAAGGTTTCTTTTGTTAAGTTTTTAAACAAACTCCTAGGCAGAGGTTCCTTATTCCACTCACATGTTACAGGGTACCTTTGCATTTATACTATTCTTAGATATAGTTATTGCTATCATTTTTTTTTCTCCCTTCTAAATACGAGCTATAAGGGAAGATATAAGCTGTACCCAGCTGCTGAAGTTCAAATACTGTAATTTCTTCTTACTTTCTTCCACTGCTGTTATAAGAAGCAAATTTTTTCATCTGCTGTTATTTTGTCAGGGAGAAATATTCTATAAAGGAGCTGCGAGGCAAGCTTCTCACCAAACACTTGAGCTGATACAGTAGTTTGCACACTGTCTAATAGAGTCTAG